TTAAAAGAATGTACTTATGAACTTTCTATTTTCCACAGCGCATAAAAAAGTAGGAGGGGCCCCTCAAGAGAGCATTACGGTGAGGCAATACATAGAGAAGAAGCAGCAGAGAGAGCAACAGCAACAACATTATCAACAACAATTAAAAAGAACTCGTAATTCATTACTACATCAAAAATTATGTAAGATCTCTCTTTGTATTAATATACAATGGCGGCTCGTTCATAGGAGCTGCAGTCTCCCCAGATGCTCTGTCAGGCATATGATTTCATCAACCTTACTCTAAAATAATTTGCAACTGACAAATATATTACAGGAAAAATCTGTTGTATGTTGTTTTCAATGTACACGTATTTACAGTGGACCCCCGCTTAACGATCACCTCCCAATGCGACCAATTATGTAAGTGTATTTATGTAAGTGCGTTTGTATGTGTATGTTTGGGGGTCTGAAATGGACTAATCTACTTCACAATATTCCTTATGGGAACAAATTCGGTCAGTACTGGCACCTGAACATATTTCTGGAGTGAAAAAATATCGTTAACCGGGGGTCCACTGTATAAGCAATTTTTTTTTTTTTTTTTTTTTTTTTTTTGTTGAAACGAAATGGAAAATAGTTTAAAATAGAAGTTTGATGCAGTACGATAGTACAGTGGACCCCCGCATACCGTTGGCATCACATAACGTTAAATCCACATAGGGATACATTTTATCTCTAAAATTTTGCCTCGCATAGCGCTAAAAAACTCGCTCGACGCAATTCGTCCGAGACGCATCTATGTGAGGCCTGAGCCAGCCTCACATGTTCCGCCGGTGGCATTGTTTACAAGCCAGCCTCCGCAGTAACATCCAAGCATACAATCGGAACATTTTGTATTATTACAGCGTTTTTGGTGATTTTATCTGCAAAATAAGTGACCATGGGCCCCAAGAAAGCTTTTAGTGCCAACCCTGTGGTAAAAAGGGTGAGAAATATTATCGAAATACTGTGGTACCATGGTCAACTGCTGCTGCTGCTGCTGCTGCTGTAGTACCATCTGCTGCTGCTGTAGCACTGTCAGCTGCTGCTGTAGCACTGTCAGCTGCTGCTGTAGCACCGTCAGCTGCTGCTGTAGCACCGTCAGCTGCTGCTGCAGCACCGTCAGCTGCTGCTGCTGTACCACCGTCAGCTGCTGCTGTAGTACCGTCTGCTGCTGCTGTAGCACCGTCTGCTGCTGCTGTAGCACCGTCAGCTGCTGCTGCTGCTGTAGCACCGTCAGCAGCTGCTGCTGCTGCTGTAGCACCGTCAGCTGCTGCTGTACCACCATCAGCTGCTGCTGCTGCTGCTGTAGTACCGTCTGCTGCTGCTGTAGCACTGTCAGCTGCTGCAGCACCGTTGTTGGTGTGGCTTATTGAGAATACCAAGAAACAATTAACCCCAGAGGGTTAGCCACCCAGGATAACCCAAAAAAGTCAGTGTCATCGAAGACTGTCTAACTTATTTCCATTGGGGTTCTTAATCTTGTCTCCCAGGATGCAACCCACACCAGTCGACTAACACCCAGGTGAATAGGAAAAAATGCCTGGAACTAGTGCTCATATTGGTGAATTTAAAGCCAGCAAAGGTTGGTTTGAGAGATTTAAGAATCGTAGTGGCATACACAGTGTGATAATGCCTGTTCTGGAAGAAAATGCCAAACAGGACCTACAGTACTCAGGAGGAAAAGGCACTCCCAGGACACAGTGTCTCATCAGTCATTGCTGCATCTTCAATAAAGGTAAGTGTCATTTATTCTTCATTTAGTAGAGTAGTACATGCACAATATATATTGTGCATGTACTACTCTACTATTGTGCATGTATCCTTCTCTTTGTGTGTGGGAAAATGTATATTTCATGTGGTAAAAATTTTTTTTTCATACTTTTGGGTGTTTTGCACAGATTAATTTGATTTCCATTATTTCTTATGGGGAAAATTCATTCGCATAACGATAATTTCGCATAACAATGAGCTCTCAGGAACGGAGTAATATCGTTATGCGGGGGTCCACTGTATAGGTATTACTGGCGTTACGAGCCGCCACTGTTAATATAAAGTAGTGTATAAAGAATAGTTGTTCCTACAGTATTATTAATGCATAATAGATAGTTTTTGTTCTATATTTATGAAGTGAAAGATGGCACATGCAAGCTCTTTGTCTTACACTACAGTACTCTATTGTTTTGCATGTATACAATTTTCACCATTGAAAATATCTTCTTTTTCCCATATATTCTTTTAGTCTGTTATAGATTCCAGTTCATGCCTCGTATGTCCTGACCCATGTGGGTTTAGTGCTTAATTTTTATTGTAAAACATCAATAATCTTCATATGTCCTTAATCAGAGAGGTGCCCAACTTATGAACACTAGACATATGAACATCTTTATTTACCAACAAAGTCCATAAAAAAAAACATTTAGATCATTTTTTGAGAATGCAATATGCTGTTACAAAAATGTATGACATAACTATCCTTTGTACTAATGTTTTTTTTTTTATAAGAAAATAAGCGCCAGATTACAAACAACTCATTATTAAGTTTAAAGATAATATTCAGTACAGTAATATGGTATCAAGAATCCACTAAAGTTCAGTACTTCACTTATTATACAGGGTGACCCAAAAGTCTGGATGTCCTGTGTGTCCAGACCCAAGGTCTGAACACACAGGACATCCTTGAAATTGGGTATTCCTTGAGAAACCCTCAGAAGGATTTTAGAAGCCAAGAAGCGAGTCCAGACTTTTGGATCACCTTATACATCCGTGTGTGGCTAACATCATTGTTTTTCTAGTTATTTAATATGTTGGTGATTAAAGAGTGAATCAGGTGTTTAAACAAGAAAGATAAAGGGAAGGTACAATATACATTCACTGAGACATAGCCATTACATCAACTGGCTGCCAAATACATCTTATGTTCTAGAGATTCCTGACCTCTTGGTAAGCAAGGCAAAATAATGTGTGGCTAATAAAATGAGGAAAGCTATATGGGCAAGTCTACAGCCAGCTGTTGTCCCTGTTATATTAATAACATAGCAATATTTTGATAGAGGATATATAGGAGTGCTATTTTTCCCCGCAACTCTGGCTTTGGTTTGGCTAAAACTTGTGATGTGGTTGACTAATTACTTTCTCCCACTAAACATGACATTATTAGCCTCGTGCACAAATCATACAGAAGAAAAAAGTTATATAGGCAATTCAGTTAGATAAATCTGTGATAAAACAATATTGGTGAGAACCAAAGCCTGAATCAGCATCTCATTTTTTCAAATGTATTCATCTTTATGTAGCTGGTAAGGGGCTGTCGATCCAAGGAATTGGGCTTATACTCCCCTTGTCAAACCTGATTGACTCCCATACCCCAGATGCTGTATGGGTCTTACAGGTTTAGTGTTTTCCCCTAAATATAATAATTAGTATAGTTGTGGTGAGTTCCTATATTTGGTACAATTTAGTAAAAAATTGTGACTTATTTTCATGTTAACATGTACCGAATATGTCTCAGTTGATAAACCTCACTAGATTGAACTTGGTCAAGTAGGCGCACATTAAGTAGGTCTCTAGTTTATTACACAAGACTCTTGTGGGTTTAGCTATTAGTTTGTAATAAGATAATGTACATTAGTGTTTCTGAAACATTATTAGCCACTGTTTACCATTTTTTCATTCTTTTTTTTAACAGGGGAAGCTAATGCATCGCTGGAGAAGAACCTGTCACAGTGCATCCGTGGTCCCCTGGCAGAGCAAGCCAATCGTATCTCTCATCTCATAGCAACTATTCCAGCAACCCAGACTTCCACACTTTCTGCTCACTCTTCACTGTCTCGAGCATCACGTAACCTCTCACACACGCACTTACTACTTAAGGGACTAGCTAATAATCCTTTATCAACTTTAAAAGCACCATAGTGTATAGTATAAAATCCTAAGGTAATTAATGCTCCCAGTTTTTACCTTTGTACTATACCAGTCTCTCTCGTTATGAATATCCTCACGAATAAGGTTTATAAGAAATAGTAAAATTATTTTAGAAGAGTTGTGGTTACGAATGTGTATGATACATTACTATAGTTTTTACTACTTTTCCCATTATTATTACATGTAAAAGTAAGTGCTAAACCCATAAGGGTCATACAGCATATTTTTCGTATAGAAAAAATTGATTCCTAGTTTATATTAAAAAATTTTAAGTGCAGCTCTGGGATTGTATGTATACAGTGTACATAATCAATTTTGGTTTTATTGTATTTGTGTGGGGAGGGGAGAGGGAGAAGCTCCCTCCATGGGAAGTGCCTTGACACTGGTGAAGGGCTCTTGATCCAGGGAACTTAATTGAACCTCCAGTTCCTTGGATCAGACCTTATTGCCATCTATTTCCCTGGTGCTGTACGACTTCTACAAGTTTAGCGCTGTATGTGTGGTATAGTATGACTTGCAGTAGGTTTGGTGCATATGTAATTTTTTTTTTTTTTAATACACCGGTTATTTCCCACTGAGGCAAGGTAAACCGAAAAAGAAACACATTCATCATCAATCATTCCATCACTGTCTTGCCAGAGATGTGCCAATAATACAGTTCAAAAACTGCAACATATCTCCACCCCTCCTTCAGAGTACAGGCACTGTACTTCTCACCTCCAGGACTAGAGTCCAGCTAACTGTTTCCCTGAATCCCATCATGTTACTATGCTTACGCTCCACAACATGTCATGTCATAAAAACCACTTGCCTCCACTCCTATCTCATACACACTTCCTCGATGTGTAAGCACTTCCCTCCAACCTTTCCTAGGATAACCTCTACCTAGTCTTCCCTCTGCTGCAGATTTATATACCCTCTAAGTCATCCAATTAATAAATCTATGTAATAATGAACTCAAATTAAGTTGTAACAAACTGTTAATGACTAAACAGAAGGGTGGACAACAGAACGTCAGACTATCATTTTACAGACCACTGTTAGAGCCCCTCGTCCACCTTTCTATGTAGTAATAATATTAAAATACATTTAAATTTTGTTACAGTAAGTATTAATTAGTTTGGTACTTACAACAAGATCCCCTCACCAACATGAGGGTTGGTACTTATACACAAAACCCCTTACCCTAAGCCTGCCACAGAAGCCACTTTTATTTTTTTTTTTTTTTTATCACACCGGCCGATTCCCACCAAGGCAGGGTGGCCCGAAAAAGAAAAACTTTCACCATCACTGTCTTGCCAGAAGGGTGCTTTACACTACAGTTTTTAAACTGCAACATTAACACCCCTCCTTCAGAGTGCAGGCACTGTACTTCCCATCTCCAGGACTCAAGTCCGGCCTGCCGGTTTCCCTGAATCCCTTCATAAATGTTACTTTGCTCACACTCCAACAGCACGTCAAGTATTAAAAACCATTTGTCTCCATTCACTCCTATCAAACACGCTCACGCATGCCTGCTGGAAGTCCAAGCCCCTCGCACACAAAACCTCCTTTACCCCCTCCCTCCAACCCTTCCTAGGCCGACCCCTACCCCGCCTTCCTTCCACTACAGACTGATACACTCTTGAAGTCATTCTGTTTCGCTCCATTCTCTCTACATGTCCGAACCACCTCAACAACCCTTCCTCAGCCCTCTGGACAACAGTTTTGGTAATCCCGCACCTCCTCCTAACTTCCAAACTACGAATTCTCTGCATTATATTCACACCACACATTGCCCTCAGACATGACATCTCCACTGCCTCCAGCCTTCTCCTCGCTGCAACATTCATCACCCACGCTTCACACCCATATAAGAGCGTTGGTAAAACTATACTCTCATACATTCCCCTCTTTGCCTCCAAGGACAAAGTTCTTTGTCTCCACAGACTCCTAAGTGCACCACTCACTCTTTTTCCCTCATCAATTCTATGATTCACCTCATCTTTCATAGAAGCCACTTCAGAATTATTTATTTCATTATAACCCATACAGGCTTAGCATACATTTTTAAAAGACATTCTCAAATCCACTTTTGAATTTTGTTATAAACTGTCGCAATATTTTTTTTTTATTATTATTATCACACTGGCCGATTCCCACCAAGGCAGGGTGGCCCGAAAAAGAAAAACTTTCACCATCATTCACTCCATCACTGTCTTGCCAGAAGGGTGCTTTACACTACACTTTTTAAACTGCAACATTAACACCTGTCGCAATACTGTTCATCAAACCTATCAGTGTGGAGGTACATTCCTGCAAAATAACAATGGTAGAGACAGAGAGAAAAGACCCTGACAGGAAATTATGTTCGTGGGAGAGAGGCATGCTAAATTTATAAAGTTATACAGTACGTACATGGCAGAACAGGAGACAATCAGATTCGATCCAAGGAAGGGGATGTCAGGTGTGATTCCTTTGAGGCAGGTTTAGCACTCCCTACTCCCTTTAATATAATAATGTAAGATCAAACTGCTGCATCAATGGCACTCTGGCAGGAATAAAACAGTGCCTTATTTTATTTGAAAAACAATAAAATGAATGGGTCATTCAGCACTTGTAACCCAGATTATTATTACAATGAAAACTAAGTGCTAAAACCCATAAGGGTCAACCCAGATTATTATTAAATTCAGGCTAGTACTAAACCTACTGGAATCATAAAGCAGCTGGGAAATGGGAAGCATCAGGCTTGATCCAAGTATGGGAAAGATAGCCTCGGTTCCCTGGATGATGGGACCCCTTTACCTTGATATGCCTTTTATGAGTTTTGAGGGTTTTTCTACTCTTGGCCCTGGACCAGGCTGTTGCTGCTGGTGGCCCGCTGGCCCACATATCCATCAAAGCCTGATTGATCCTGCACTTGGTGGAAATACTTGTCCAGAATTCTTGCAGAGTCCACTGAACTGTCACAGGCCTCACACCTGTGACTGATCACATTTTACACAGCATTCACTGCAAACTTAGGTGCCAGGTAACACTCCTTCCTATGAACAGAATTTACCGATTAGCTTGTGTGACCTGAGGGAGAGAAGTTCACTCTTGATTCCTCTCAAATATTTCTACATATGCAAATGTGAAACTTCAATTTGTTAATGCATTAAGCTATACATGTATATTAAATTATGCAATAAATGTAATTGTGATCTTTTTAAATAAAATCTGAACATCTGTATAAATTCTGTACTTTTAATAAACCTCAAACTACAAGATTTATGAGAAGCTGCATGACCGTAGTCAATTTAGCGCTTTATTTGATTATACGTAATATGAGAAAATCTCTTTCTAGTTTATACAAATTCCAAGACTTATTAAATGATTAACTTCTTTCAGTTTAATTAGATTTCCCAATTCTAAATACTGTACACAGTACAATACCTTTTTTTATTTGCTTGCCAGTCTCATAAATCAGCCTTTTCCTAATATCTTTGACCAAAGAGCTTCTTCCTCGCTGTCTTCACCTTCATCATCTGACCCAAAAGTTGGAGCAGCTGCTGTGTTTGGTGCTGGAGCATTGTCTTGTCCAGCACAGTATTGGCTAGTCTGCTCTACTTGCTTCACTGTAGCTTGCAGTGTTGTGCCAGGAGACTTGGATGTTTCATCTGCATCTTTCTTAACCGTTGTGCCAAAGAGTCGTTCATATTCCTCAATGCTGCCAATAACTGGAACAAGAGGTTCTACAGGCTTCCTGGGAGGTTCTTCCACCTTCTCTGTTACAATTTTAGTGGCTTTGTCCTTCTTTTGAATCTTTTTCCGTACACGGCTCAACATCTTACTGCTGGTGACAACTTTCTGAACTTTTTCACTTTGAAGCCATCTCATACTCCAACTTGATCCTCCTAATTCAATATCATCAATATTGTCTGAATTTGAATCTTTACTAGTTTCGATAACTCCAATAATTTCCGTTTCTTGATCACTTCTCTTCTGGCTCTTCTCATCTGATTTAGGATCAAAATCTTGATAGTTTTGAGCATCTGGGGAAGAAGTTGCAATTTCTTTCTCAACATCTTTGGGACTTTGCATTGTTGAATAGGATGGTGTGATGTCCTCCGAGAAAAATGAGTTATTGGTCTCGTTCAATGATGCTATGTTACTACTGTCTGTTTCCTTAATTTCCAATCTTTCATCAGATTTATTTATTTTTAATGATGCATTTTCATTTTCTGTTAATGGTGAATTTTGTGCATTTTCTGTAAGTGTATTCTTTAAAAAGCCAATGCCTTCCATGACGAGGGTATTCCTAGATTTTTCTTTTTTCTTTCTCTCTTTTCTAGTCCAGGATACACCTGGCATTTGCATTTCTACTTTCTGATGTCGTAGCACACGCCTGCGAATGAGCCCAGTCTCAATCCGAATGGTCTCAGCTGGAATCTCGTCTTCCGGGATTTCCACGGTAGTGTCACTGCCATTTCCTTTTTCCTCCTCTGTAAATGTCTGATCTTCAACACTATTACTACACAATGTAGGCTCTTCCCTAACTTTGTATTCAATAAACTTGTCTTCAGTATTCTCACTTTCCTTATTTCTACTATCTTCTTCAGTAGCTGCCAGTTGCTTTTCCCCTTCCTTTAAATATTCCTCAGAGGTATTATTATAACCTTCATGTATTTCCTTTATCCCTTTTGCTATACATTCTTTGCTTTGACTATCAATCATAAATGAGTGTTCTCTCATTCTGTCTTCATGTTCTTGGAGATAATGTTCTTTATCTGCACCATTTTCTGATACTCGAACCTCCGTACAAATCTCGTGTGTTTTAGTAGTAACGTCTTGCTGAGCAGTCCCTCCATTATCCCTGTTATTTAAGTCATTTTTACTTGCTTCACCTGTAGTGAGATATTCATCTGAGTCACAACTCACTGCCAGGGAAATGCTCTTCCTGGATGCCAGAGTTACACTTTCACTCTCTATTATATTTGCAGCTTTACATGTAATATTTATGTTATCTGAATCATGGTTCTCCTGCCTATTTATTAACTTAGAAATGCTGTGTGAGATCTCTGGTGGTTCAGCTCTGCCTCTCTCTGCAATCATTACTTCCTGGTCATCTTGTTTATTCACTATTGGAACATCAGAATTTCCCATTTTACTGTTAAGAGTGTGAGAAGCATCTTTCATTTCTTTTTCAGAAGAATCCACAATAATCTTTTCTCCATCTATCTGCATGTCTGAATTTTTATCACTTACCGTGGGTACTTCCATTGCAACACTGACTCCTTTTCCAATTTTCACTTGAATCTTACTGGTGTCGACACTGTGTAGTTTCAGTCCCTGCATTGCTGTCTGGCATAAATTAATAATATCTTCATTTTCATCTATGTCTACTGTAAATTCACTTTTATTTTGTAATTGTGTGTTAAAATCTGTAGTATCAACTGAATCGGAATTCAGTTTCTTTGAATCTTCTATGTTCTCCACATTTTTATGGTGTTTTGCTGTGGCAATAAGACTGGTTGCAACTGATTCATCTATTTTATTTTTTTGTTCTGCCACTATCTTTACTTCTGGTTGTGATTTTGTCATTTTGTCCTTCTTGGGAAAAGGAACAGTTTGTTTTGATGCCACTTGCTTGGCAGTGTCTATGACTTTCTTATTTTTTCTTGTTGTTATAGTTATAATTGGCTTTTCTGAGTCACTGTCTGAGCTAATAACAATTTCTTCATTGGCTTTCTTAATGCACTTTGGCATTTCAATTATTCCAATGCCTGATGAAATGTCAGTAGTTTTTCCACTGAGACGACTCTGCTTCAAGGGTAAATCATCTAAATCTATACTAGGGGTTATGTTCGGTGCTGGTTTCTTCTGGAGTGAGAAGCTAATGCTTGCTCGCTCTATTATTTGGCTCTTGCTGATTGACAGAGGCTTCTTGCCTGCTGTCTCCTTGGTGGGGCTGTCATCAAAGTCCTCCTCTGAGTCAACAAATTCAATATCACATTTTTGTCCCCAATTTTCCTCATCCTCTTTGTTTTCTTTAGTATTTACTGGTGGTATTTTTACACTGCCTCTTCTGCCTATACTCTCATTTTTAACCAGTTCTCTATTTTGTCTCTCATAACTTCGCTTTCCTTCACCTTTGTTCTTCCTTTCTTGGCTCTTAGACCTTGTTCGGCTTCGTGTGTAACTCCTCCTCCTCCTCCTCCTTTTCCTCCTAATTGGACTTCTGGAGCAACTTCTACTATAGCTTCTGGATCTGCTTCTGCTGCTGTAGCTTTTTCTCAAACTACTTGGTGATGAAGAGTAGCTACTTACACTTGAAACACCACTTGGAGTACATGCACCCTCCTCTTCCTCATTGCTGTCAAGTTCACCCTCTTCCTTTTCTGAGACCTCACCACTAGCTTCCTCAGGTTTGCTCTGAGAGGCTTCTCCTTCCATGCCACTTTTGATCAACTCTGTCTTACCATTTTCTTGATCTTTATTGAGCCCCTCTTTCTTTGCTTCCGACTCATCTTTCTCTCTCACTTTTTCTTCATCCTCTGAAGTCTTACGCTGACGATATGTTCTATTTTTCTTGGCGCGTTTCATACGCTCTTCAAATTCTTTTCGGGTAATTTTCTTCTTCTTTTGTACATGTCTATCTAAATTTACTATTTCTTTTGACCTTTTTCTATGTCCCCCACCATCACTCCTATCACTATGGCTTCTCTCTCTCTTGTTTCTACCTCTTTTGTTCTCTTTATGGCTGTCATCGTTTCTTGATCTATGATGTCTCCTGTGACCTGATCTTTCATCCTTGCTGATATTTGATTTGTCACCTTTCTTTTCTTCATTAGCTACTTCCTTTTCTATTGTCTTCTGCTGCAATGTTTCCTTTCCCTCAGTTACTACAGCACTTTTTGCCTCAGATACAAAAGCATTCTTTGCCACGGTCTCCAGAACTGCAGGCTCTTTCTCATTCCTCACTTTGTTACCTTCTTTCGTTATCTGCTTTGCACTCTGCATGACTGCTGCTATTGCATCCTCAGCTATTTTCTTCCCTTCGTCGCCCTTCTCTAGCATCGTCTTGATGATTCGAGCTCTCATCTCTAACTCCAGAAGTTCCAGTACACTTTTACCAGTGTCAGGACCCTGTCCTTCTCTTGTGTCTTCCAGTCCTGGCTCCACCTTGATTTTTTTAAGGAGGAATCCCTCAGGTATTTGCTCACTGCTGGACTTTCTTTTCTCCCTAAAATGAAAATATCAAGAGTATACTGAATATTTCCTAGTTACATGGCAACATGGAGATGTCTATCTTGGATACCAAGATGAAGTGCAGTATATGTTTATAGTCTTTAAAATAGTGCTACTAGAGGGAGTGGTAAGTTATATGTGAATTTTATTTTTTAATAATTGCAACAATATTAAATTTGCTAAAACTATATTTACAATTTTCAAATATCATTTCTGTTCATATAGTATACCGAGGGTAGCCACATCTTGCTACAATAAGATAAATCCTATGCCAACTTTTCTATCACAGCAGCCCCCAGCATACCTCCACACATAAAGCCATACCAATACTCAATGATCTAACATCTCTCATTATGTGACGAATGGTTTTGAAAACCGACAAGTTGAAGAATTGAGACACATGCAACACATGGGAATCTTTATTGAAGAAACGTTTTGGCACACAGTGGCTTCATCAGTCCAATACAAAGTAGAAATGGGTAAGGAGAGGAGAAGAATGAGGTAATCAGTCCCTCAGTCCTCCTCTCATTACCCATTTCTACTTTGTATTGAACTGATGAAGCCACTGTGTGGCGAAACGTTTCTTCAATAAAGATTCCCATATGTTGCATAAGTGTCTCAATTCTTCATCTCTCATTATCCTTCTACTGCAATCCTTCTCCACTACTACTATTGTCATTCAACTTTTAAAGCCTCACAGTGTGAGAAGCACCACCTCTGTGCTTCAGTTATTAATGTACAACTTCTTCTTTCAACACACCGACCATATCCCACTGACGCGGGGTGGCCCCCCCCCAAAAAAAAAGTTTCTCTTCATAACTAGTAATGTATACAGGAGAAAGGGTTACTAACCCCCTGTTCCTTAATGTACAACTATCTAGTCTATATTCCGTGTACCTTTGCAAGTGTGTCTACATGTACAAATACAATGGTAGCTAATGGCCCTATGGCAGGCTATGGTAGGAGTGATTGCTGACTAACCCATGCTGGACTCTGATCTGAGTGCTGTAAAATTATCCAAACACCACTTTTATATCTATACTTACTTTGGGGTATTTTCTTGAGCCTTGTTTTCCTCAGGAACAACTTGCTGCTCTAACTTTTCTTCTTCTTCATCTTCCTCACTGCCAGATGATCCTTCCATCACCTGACCTGCGAACCACAACCTGGACATTACAACTGCGAAACTTTGGCCTATGAGAAATAAAACTGTGCATTTCAACCATCAGCCTTATGTATGTATGTATGTATGTATGTGTGTGTGTGTGTGTGTGTGTGTGTGTGTGTGTGTGTGTGTGTGTGTGTGGTGTGTGTGTGTACTCACCTAGTTGTACTCACCTAGT